AATTCACACTAGAAAAAAAACCTTAAAAGCATAAAATTTGTTTTAAATTCTCGCAAAAAGTTAATTTGAAACAACATATGAGATCGCAAATTGAAGAAAAATCTTAGTGTGGATAATGTGAGCTTTCATAAGTGTGGTTATGAAAAGCATTTTTTTTTTTTTTTTTTCTTAAAAATGATATTTCTTCTTGATAACAGAATGTCCCTATTTTCAGAATTCTTAGATGAAAAAGTACTGAGAAAAGTTGTTAAAACTCAGATAATTGTATTTGGCAAACAATAAATCCATTATAGTAATAAACTGTTTCATTATATTCCTCAAAACTTACATACCAAAACCTGTGAATTATTAAAATACCCGAGAAATCAAAAAGTTTTCAGTAATAATACTGCGTGTAGGTACAATGAATATCAATGTTCCATGTTGTCTGATCCAACATACTACCTTATACATGTCTCTCACATATTCAGCGGGAACTCCTCTCTTATTGAGAGCCACCACAGAATCTCCCGATGGACTCTTTTTTCCTGTATGTTTTTATCCACCGACTTATAATAAGAATTGTATCTGTTGTTGATGTGTCTTGCATAAAACCAAACTGATTATCGGATATTTCAGTTTCTTCACGTATCCATTTATCATGGTACAATGAACACAAGGTATGATACACAATGTACCAAAATCGGTTCGCTTCGCGCATGACGTAGTAAAGATCCCTTCTTCACTCAACAGTTGAATGTAGTTGTATAGAAAACACTTTTAATTTAAAGTTATAGCTTTTTATAGTTATATTTTAATATAATATGGCCAATTTGATTATAGTAATTAAATCGATTATTTCTGAAAGGGCTTAAGTGTTATTTCAACCATTTTTCGTTTAATAAGCAAAACCTATCGTTTGGTGCAGAAATGAACTAAATTCGATTATTCTTTACTTGCATGTATGTGTGAGAAAATATTGGTTTACCGCAGAAAAGACCTTAGTAAACTAACTTAGCCCGTTTAAGAAATAAATATTTAAATTTGTGTCGTACTGTATCTGACCTTGCGCTCTGTTTTGGTTTAAAATGCCTCGTGTCGCGAAATATTTTCAGTGATTTACTGGCTTCGATACTGTGTGCAGTTAAGTGCAATATAATGACATGTTTCTGGCAATATGTCTAGTTCGGATGAAAATACTGAAAGTGAAGGGGGGCCACATCAATTAGATAATCTTAGAAAAAAAGGCGAGGTGTGAGAAATGATAATAATTACCACAGAAATTTATTCAAAAAAGATAGAGTCAGTGGTACTGCGTATACAGAATATAAAGGAAAGATGGTTGGTGCCAGGCAAATCGGAGGAGCAAAAATATAGCAAAACGAAGAAGCTAAAAAAATAAAAACAATAAATTAACGGAACTACTTTTTGATCATTTTATTCGCGTTGGAGATCTGAAAGTAAAAGTGTCTCTTAGGGCTTTTTTAAATTTGCATTCTCTATTTGAAAAAGAATAAAGCGAATAAAATCATTGATTAAAACTAATCTGACTCCTAGAGATAAATGTGGCAAAAATATTGAAGGGCAATGCCAGAAGATCAAAACATATTAACTCATCAGCACATTCAAAGCTATCCAGTAAAAGAAAGTTACTATTCGGAAAAAGAATGTAAATATCTAGATAGTAGGCTTAATATAAAAATTATGTATGAAATGTTTAGATCCAAGTATCCTGAAACAAAAATTAAATACAGCTATTATACATTTTTTCGCGAAAACTTTACGTTGAAATTTGGCCGTCCTCAAATAGACACATGCGTAAAATGTGAAGAGTTGAATTTAAAAATCAAAGGTCCCTCTCTGGGAGATGCCCCAAAAAAGTAGCTGTTACAGCATTGTTGGTACACAAAGGACCAACAAGTTTTATACGAATTTAAAGGATAAGAGTGTCATGATAGGAACGACGTGGTAGGGCTCGCATTTTACTATATGCAAAATGTTCATCTGCCGCATATACCTGTACAAGATGTCTTCTTATACAGAAGGACTGGCCAATAAGGGCCCTAATGAAGTATGCACGTTTTTGCTTAATTATATAAAAAATTACATACCACCCAACATAAAATAGTTGAAACGTTTTGGTGACAACTGCCCTGGACAAAATAAGAACCACACTATTATAAGATTATGTTTGGCCCTTACAGATATGAGGCGCTTAGATAAAATTGAACGTTATTTTCTCATTACAGGGCAATCCTTCATGCCCTGTGACAGGAATTTCGGTGTCATAAAAAGGTACTTAAAAAATTTGACAGAATATTTGAAATTCATAAGTAAACAGAAATTATTGTTAATTCAAGTGCCAAAAGCAAGTGTACTGTAAAAGAAGTTCAAAGTATTGAGATTTTTGATTTTAAGCAATGGTGACAAGTATTATAAAAAGACAAGCCTGTCCACTGAATCTCAACAAATAAATGTTCCGATCTAATTTCGATGTTTCGATCTCAAAAAACTCATTTTGCAATTTCGACCTTGAACCATTATGTATATAACTCCGAAACTCCAGGTTATGTAAGGGCATCTGAATATATTAATAGAATTTTTGGTGTTAAACGTCTCTGTTTTTCTTTACCGAAACTCAACAGCCAATTTAGTATCGAATGGCCCAAAATACCAGCATATGCTAAAGACATGGTGCCAATTATGGAAACAAAAATATGCCATTTACAAAGCCTTAACCGGTCGGTACCAGAAGATAAGCAAGAGTTCTACGTCAACATAATTAATTCCTGGCGATAAAAGACAAAAAAATCTAAAACCAAAGCATTTTAATAGAACTGAAAACCATGTTTTTTTTTAGATTTTGTTTTAAACTTTGTAAGAATAATGTTCTATTTTTATGTTTTATATTATATTATTTTTCAGATTATATTTCAGACCTATGTTTCAGACCCATGTACGTTACTATCGGGCTTATTACGGTCTTGTATGTCCTTAGTTTTGTCCTTCGAGATATATTTTTGCTTCTTAACAATCCATTGAGAGCAATTATAGAGCGGTTGCAAAAATATAAAATTATGTGCAGGAAACATAAACGAAAAAATGTAAAAAATTCATATAATTTGATGCCGTACATCAAAGTACTAAAAACAAATAAACTACAAGTTTTACAAAAAAACTACTACAGAATATAATAAATTAAACAGCAGCTAAACACTACAGGTACTTTTCAAAACACTATAATGCTTTAACTGAAGAAAAAAGCAGTAAGTTACTACAATGTCAAAAAAAGCCGTTAAACTATCATTACAAATAATGGGCCCGAGAGATCTTTGCTACGTCACACGCCTGACTCAGCTGTCAAATATCATGCGCAATATCATACCATGTGTTCATTGTACCATGTCCATTTATCAACTACGATGATCGATTGATATTAAAGTAGCCTTTAATAGATGGCGCTACTTGATACCGAATTGGTTTCGGTGTTGACACTTGCCTTTCATGACATGACGTCTGTCAAAATTTTAAGTTTTAAAAACAATTAGTTTGGTTTTTACAGCCGTCAAAAGCAAGCGAATTTTGTGTTTTCGGAGAAATGAAAAAAATCGAGTATCGTTCGGTGATTAAGTTCCTTCACAAAAATGGTAAAACGAATATGCAAATCAAAGCCGACCTGGACAAAGTTTATGGTTTAGGCCAAATGAAGTCACCACGACGGAAATTATCAACAAAGTCCATGACATGATTATGGCAGATCGTCAAATTAAGCTCCGCAAGTTAATAGAGGTCCCAAACATTTCCCACGAACGCGTACACAACATCATTTGGACATGTAAAAGCTATCCGCACAGTGGGTGCCGCGTTTGCTGACAATCGATCAATTGCAAAACCGTGTGACCACTTCGGAGGCGTTTTGGCGATGATACGGTGCGATCCGAAGGATTTTTTTCGCCGATTTATCACCGATGATGAAACCTGGGTTCATTATTACAGATCGGAAACCAAAGAACAGTCGAAACAGTGGCGCAAACGAGGCGAAGGGCCGCCGAAGAAGGCAAAGAGTGCACATTCGGTCGGCAAAGTGATGGTGACTGTTTTCTGGAATGCGAAAGGCATCATCCACATCGACTACTTGGAAAAAGTAAAAACAACCAATGGTGAGTAATACGCAGGATTATTGGATCGATTCGATGCCCAATTGCATATAAAACGCCCCGGTTTGGAACGCAAAAAAGTGCTCTTTCACCAAGACAATGCACCGGCTCATCGATCGGCTGTTGCCATGGCAAAATTACACTAACTGAGCTATGAATTGGTTGAACACCCACCCTATTCCTCAGATCTTGCATCCAGCGATTTTTCCTGTTTCTAAACCTAAAAAATGGCTCGGAGGATGTCGTTTCGCAACAAATGATGAAGTCGTCGCTGAAACTTCGGCCTATTTTGAAGAGCTCAAGCAAAAATACTATTCGGATGGGATAAAAAAAGTATTACTTACTTTATCGATTGTTATCGCACAAAATAACTTTTAAAAATTAAATTTTTAATAAATTTTATCAATTAGCGCCATCTTTCGGAAGATATCTTAAATTATTAATTTTTTATGCTTGAAAGCATTGAGTTAGTATATAACTCAATGCTTGAAAGAAAGGAAAAGTCGGAAACTTATTTTTCAATTTATATTTTTTATACATAATTTTTAATACTTAAATTGTTTTAAATTTTATGTATATTCTTACAAATTTAATATTGATTACAACCTATTTAATTATAGAAAAAAATTTTAATATAATAATCATCAATTCCGTCAAACGTCAAATTCACATGTCAAAGTTAATAAACGTCAGAAATTAAATTTGGAAAATCTTAATAAATTTAATTATTCAACATATTTTTACACCTCAACCTCCATTTTTCAGTTGAACTCTATACAATTTAATGTCGACATGTTTCCATATAGTTAATAATGTGTACAAGAGCATGACTGGAAAGGAGAATAGTAAACATCCGCCTCTATTATGAATGTGTACTACGCCCATGGTAAGTTGCAAAGTACTGTTAATAAATATTTATTTAACTGTTTGGTACCTTTATTCTAGAAAAACTAAATAGAGAACCTGGAATATCAAGTGATTGCGATACAATGGCTGAACTTGCTGCATTATTGCGTTCCGATATTCCAGAAGGGCGAAGCAGTCTCTCAGAAAACCACACAAATTTGCAAAGAGTAGCTGAGTATTGTGAAGCGAACTATTTTCAAAATGATAACAAGCGATTAGCGTTAGAAGAGACAAAGAATTACACTACACAGTCTTTAGCAAGTGTAGCTTATCAAATAAATACTCTGGCTTATAATTTCTTGCAATTGCTTGATTTACAGACTACTCAGCTGGCTGAGATGGAGAGTCAGATGAACCATATATCGCAGACTGTTATGATACATAAGGAGAAAGTAGCTAGAAGGGAAATTGGAGTTTTGACTGCTAATAAGAGTACCAATAGGCAATATAAAATAATTGCTCCCGCAAATCCTGAAAAACCTATTAAGTATTTAAGGAAACCCATAGATTATACAAGTAAGTACACTTTTTAGTAAGTTTATTTTGGTTTAAATTTGGATTGGGTGCTATAGAATTATTTTTCTTAAATTACATTATGAATGATGGTCTCCATATCCAAAACATTTTAATTTCGTTTGAGTCATTACTGTATAAATGCTTAAAAACATAAATAAATTAGTACCTTAGGTAAAACATGTGGTAATATAATAGGTACCTGAAGCATAACACAGTCCTGGTTACTTTTGTTGAAGCCCATATGTCCAAAAAATAACATACAATAGTTGGTTCGCTGATCCCAGTCCCAACTGTCTATTGAATTTAGTAATTATTTTTTGCAAAGTTAGTTGTATCTTTTGACAAACATAGCATAAGTATCTGGAAATTACTATAAAACCAAGCACACATGCTCATATCCAATATTAATTGTACACAAACTGTTATTCACACGCATGATGTGCTGCAATTTAATTATAATGTCCTAGGATGATCCTGCCTGTGTGCAACGTCTCCTAGTGGCAGAGTTGACTAGTTTTTCAGTCTCATAGTTGATTTCACAACATAGATATGGTTATTTTATTTGCAATTTAGGAGCAAAGCTATACAAAGCCATAACAAAGGCCATTGACAAAAAAATTAAGAACTTTACTCACTTGTGTAACTATTTGTTTTAATAAAAATTAAAAACACCTCGTAGTACAAGATCCTTCTGCAGGTGCACTATGTTCATAATCTAGTTCATCAAACTTACATTTTTACATACATTTAAAATTAGGAGAATACATTGGTAATAGGTTGCAGGTCAAAAAGTGGCTACAAATATATTTAATCCAATTAATAGTAATTAGTTTTTGACAAATATTTTATATCTGCTATAGTTTGCTCATGACATATAAGCATGTTTTTTATATCAAATTAAAGCTAGTTTTTTTCCTAATACAATGATATAAGGTTGCCTGAGAAAAATGCCAAAAATTAGGGTTGTCAGCTATTAAAAACAAGGTATCAAAGTTAAAGTAAAATAAGGTTAGAGTGCAATGACACTGGTTTGACAAGTGATAATATGTATATTATTATATATCTTTGGACACATGCTTTAAGAACTCACACAACTGACACTTCAAACCAGTAGCATTGCGTGCTAGCGGTCTTTTATTTTATCTTCAATACCTCACATTTATAACAGCTGGGGATCTTACTTTTTGACCATTCTTTATCAGACATATAAGTTTGTTACATCATCATATTTAGAAAAAAATTTGCTTTTTAATATAAAAAATATGCATGTACGTCATGAGCAGAGTATTTTATTTAAAAATTAATTCTTAAAATTATGTTCAAAACTATACAATTAGGATTAAATGTAACAATTACATGGATCAAGGGCCATTCGGGAATAAAAAAGCAAAGAAATCGTTGACAATTTGGCTAAATCAGCATATATGTGTGGAGAAAAAGTAAATAAAAATTTAATTCCAGTGACAGATATTGACACTGTTAGTAGACAAAACTTAAAAATAATTGGCATTTATATTACCGAGAATGAGCTTAAACTTCTGTCATTATAACTCGGCTGAGAGCAAATCATGCTCTTATGCCATATTACATGCATGGAATCAGCTTATCAAATACTCCCAATTGTACTTGTGGCAAAATAGGCAATCTAAGGGCGAGCGCCCATCAAAGTGGCGTGGCAGTGGCAAGTAGCAAGTAGCACGCGTCTAGCATAATGTAACCAATGAAAACGAATGATTCAGTTTACACCAAAATGACAGTAACGTCATTCATTCCAAACATTCGTTAGGATTGGTTACATTATGCTAGACGCGTGCTACTTGCTACTTGCCACTGCCACGCCACTTTGGTGGGCGCTTGCCCTAACACATATTATATTGGAATGTGATTTAAAAATTAATTCATTAATTAATTAATATTATTAATATATTAATATTAATTTTGGATTAGATTGGATTGGATTTTTAGACATGCGTGTCATCAGAATGGGAGATAACACTCTAACCACAAGTTGGTATAGAAAACCGATGGCCTTAATAGGTTCCTTAACTACCATTCCTATCATCCTATGAAATACAAATTAAACCTTATTAAAGCTTTAAGCTGCCGATAAATTGACACATCCAATTAATAGAAGGGAATCCCTTAAGTTATTAAGAAATATTCTAATAGAGAATTCATATCCTTCCTCTATCATAAATAAATACCTTTACTCACAAAGCTATGGATCCTCGTTTTATGACATACCCAATGGTGACCAACTTAGAACTATATCAAATAATTCAATTAATAGCATTGTTCTGCCTGATACTGATCTTGAGTATCCTACCACCCATTATTCATCTTTACCTTATTTCCCTCAAGTTACTGAGAAGCTTATTAAACTGTATAAACAGAATAACGTACCTGTCAAAATTGCGGTCAAGAATGCTAAAACTGTTACAAATTTGTTTTAAAAAATAAAACACCCTTGTCCACTTTGGAACAAGTTAACACGATTTATCACATTCCTTGTGCTGAATGCAATTTATGTTATATTGGTCAGACTCGGATATCATTAAAAGGTCGTCTCACTACACATCGTAGTGACATTAATTTATCAAAACACACTTGTGCTCTGGCGCAACATGCGATAAATACCAAACATAAAGTGGATTTTATTGAAGTTAAGAATCTTGGCACTGAACGCAATCTCGTTAAAAGACAGTTTTTGGAAATGTGTTTAATTCTTAAACACCCGAATGCTCTAAATAAGAGAACTGACATAAATAACTTGAGCCAAATATATCATGCGTTAATTTTGCAGAATTAGGCTTTATGATCTATTCACTATATAAGTGTCGTGTAACGTGTACAATTTAACACATTTGTTTATTAAATAATTAAAATATATATAAAATAGAAATAAACCAATAATTAAATAAAATAATTCAATATTTTCACTTAACTTATTTAAACATATGCAACTTACATTGCATGTACTTAAACTAATTCTCATACTTAGATTAGTGTGAACTGTCTATTGCTTAAATACTATAATACAAATAATGTAATTGATTCAGAGAATCCTTTACAAATTACAGTTCCCAGTGGATGAACCTTGGACTGTGGACATTATTTTTCGTTGATCACAAGTGGCGGATTATCCAGCCATAATATTTGACGTTTACTAATTATATATGAGGTTGAATGAATTTCGCCTGTTTGTTCGTTCTAGACTGGTTAATGCGAGGAATTGCTGTTATAATACCAATTTCTTTTATTGGTTTGTCTCTTACAAGCGGGTGGTCATCCAAACGCATTTGAACTTTTAAATGTCCAATTATTTGGGGTGGTACTTCTACCTTGCTGTTCTGTCAAATTTTTGACCTCAAGGTTGGCTGTCTTTTCACGGTTTGGTTCGGTCCGTTTCAATTAACGCCATTTTCCGGCGTCAGCTGTGAGGCTTTGAGCGGTAACTTCATTACAATACATTTTTTTAAAAAATTTTATTCAAATCACTTTAATAATGCTACCTAAAGTCAAAATCAAAGCTTAAATAATTATCAAATAGTTGGAAGTGAATCTATGATATTCTTAGTTCTTTTTCACTGCTTAATATAAAATAAAATATTACATATATTTTAGACCACATGTTCTATTGCTGTGCTAATTTTTTAATAAGTTGCTAAATGTTGTTAGTTAATTGATTGTTTATACAATATTACTGTAGAATGTCCATTTACTTGAGTTTTACTCACAAATCTGTTAATATCATTGACTGCTACATGTCTTTTTAAGGTAACACTTATAACATCTTCTCCATGATTGTGTGGTTCTCATATTGTACTTTTTAGATGAACTGATGATGCTTTCAGAACACGAAAGCGAAACATCTTCAAAATAGATAAAGTAGCCTATCAACTTTGTCTTTTATTTCTCCACCTTGAGACTGATATAAGAACCCACCACTCGTCTGAGTGATCCTTATAATATATATATATATATATATATATATATATATATATATATATATATATATATATATATATATATATATATATATATAATAAAGGTTCTACGCCACTGAAAATTTTTTATTCAATTATAACTAAAACAAAATAGTTTCATTAAAAAAAGAATCAGTCATTTTTGACCATAACTTCAAAATTAATGTGTATGTTAAGGGGTTAATAATATAAATGAACTTTATAAGGAATTAATAAATTCTATGTGTTGTTTTCCAATAAACCTTAATCTTTTAATATTTTCAAATAATATGGAAATTCTTCATTGCATTTACAAACCCGTTAAAATATGTAAATACAAGTTGTAAATAGTTTATAGGCAGAATCTGTTAATATGGTTTGAAAAAAAATGTATACCACAAATAAATAAAAAAAACAAAATAATTAAATAAATAGAAATAGAACAGAAAACAAAACAAACATAAAAAAACCAAGAAGATAATAAAAGAATAAAAAAACAAAAAATATATTGAAACAAAATTTATGTATCCATAAAAATATTAGGTATATGTAGTACTAACATTCTGATAACAAGAAAATTTTGACTATGAATCTGCAATCAATAATAGTTAAAATTCAGACTGTAACAATAAACAAAAACAACTGTGGCTAATTGGCTCTGCCAAAGCCATTTCCATTTTCAGAAAAAAAAATGAATGAAATAATTTTTTTTCAAAAGTTAAATACTATTATTAATTCAATTAAAAATATTTGCGGCCACTTTTTGATTGGCAACAAACTATCTCCCAATTTTAAATATATGTAAAAATGTGAGTTTGATTAACAATGTTATGAATATAGTGATCCCGCAGTGGGATGTTAGGCTAAAGGCAAGAATCAACATTGAAGTATAATAAATATGATTTTGTATGTATTTTTAGTTTTTGATGATATTGGCCATGGGATAAGAACTGGAGGCACACCCAGACAGAAGCAAAGAGGTTCTAGCCAAGGAAGTATTCATTCATTAAATTCAATGCCTGGAAACCCAATGGTTGGTCCTGCTCCCACAACTAAGCCACCTACTCCACCGCAAGTATCAAGAACTTCTAGTAAAGGTAAATTTTCATACATTTCAATAATTTTTTGAAAAATTATGAAAGCACTAATATATTACTGATAGTCATTCTTATTATAATACTCTTAATTGTGCTATCAAAAAAACCTTGCCTGGAAGAAGCGCAGAAATTAACATTTAAATACCAGAATTAATCATCAACTTTCAACTATGACTATTCTATTTTAAAAAATATTTGAAAATGATTTCTGTGGAAGCTGATTTGAAAATCAATCAAGTCAAACATATATAAAATGTAATTTTCATTACAACCAATTATTGTGGTTTAATCTTATATATAATATAGAGACTTTCGCTCAATGAGTGTACAGGAAGTAACAAACTTTCTTTCACAACTTAACTGGGATGATTTGTTTAAAGATAAAAGTCTTGATGATATGATTAACATGTTTTATGATGTTATTTACCTTGCAATTGATATTTTGGACAATAATTAGTTTAGAGCACCCAACATAACCAAATATATTTTCCTCAAGGCACTGCGCCACAGTGTTGCCATATTTTTTTTGTAAAATATGTATATGAATGGTTAAAAAATATAAAGTTACTTTGACGAAATTATAATCTGTGTTGAGAAGCTATAAGTTTAGAATAAGTATAAAATAGCATTCATAAATATTTTTCTTTTACTTTAAATGCAGTTAAACATTGTAAATTATTTGTGGTAATTCAGCTGATGATAAATTAAGTTTAAGTTTTAAAATAAATTTAAGTTTAGTTTATCTTCATTTTTTATCTTTAATTTTAATTTAATTAAAAACTATGAATTCTTATATCATTTCAATATATTTCTATTATATATGTTTTTTTTTTAATTCATCTTTCTATAAGGATATTCTGGCTTTAGAAATGGTATGAGTACAAGAGATGCTTTGTTCGGCTTGAATGTGCTGGCTCAGAGATGCATGGACATGAATCAGGATATGTACTTATGTTTTGTAGACTTTGAAAAGGCATTTGATAAAGTTCAACATAAAAAGCTTGTAGATATATTAAAAAGCAAAAATATTGACAGTCGTGATCTGAAAATTATATCTAATTTATATTGGAATCGAACTGCCAAGGTAAGAGTTGACAGCCAGTACACCGAAAATATCAAAATACAGAGAGGAGTCCGCCAGGGTTGCGTGCTGTCCCCACTACTTTTCAATGTCTACAGTGAAGCGGTATTTCAAGAAGCGCTCTCAGACTCAATAGAAGGTATATCTATCAATGGAGAAGTTTTGAATAACTTACGTTTTGCAGATGATACAGTAATAATTACGGATAACAACAATGATTTACAGAACGTAATGCAACGCCTTAATGAACGCTGTCATGAGTACGGACTGAAGATAAATTTAAAGAAAACTAAATGCATGATCATAACTAAATCTGCACATGCAAATATCCAATTGACTATTGAAGATACTGCAATTGGAAGTGTTAATAACTATAAATACTTAGGAACATGGATAACATCAGATGTAGACCAAATCAAAGAAATTAAGACACGTATTGAAATAGCATGTACATCTTTTATTAAACTTAAAAAGTTTCTTTGTTGTCGGGATATAAGGTTAGAACTACGCCTGAGAATGCTTCGATGTTATGTGTTCTCTACTCTTCTTTATGGTTTGGAAGCTTGGACACTAAAACAAGTTCATCTGAATAAGTTGGCCGCCTTTGAATTTTGGTGTTACAGAAGAATCCTACGAATATCATGGATTCAAAGAATGTCAAACATGGAAGTAACTAGAAGGATAGGAAATGAGGCGGAAATTATGCAGGGCAAAATCCGAGGAAAGCGAAATGTGGGAAGACGAAGAATATCCTGGCTTAAGAACTTAAGGGGATAGTTTGAATGCAGTAGTGCGGAACTTTTTAGAGCGGCAGTCAACAGAGTCCGCATAGCCATGATGATTTCCAACCTTCGATAGAAGATGGAACTTAAGGAAGAAGAAGGATATTCTGAGGATATGGTAACTCTAACATAATTTAAGCTTACATTAAATGTCAAAAATAAGTTTGTGCTCTACATCTCTAAATAAGGTGCTCTAAACTAATCATTGTCCGATATTTTTGTTCCCCTGAAGAAGTATTCAGCAAAGATGTTTCCAGTCTGGTTTTCTCTAGAGTTAAAAAAAACAATCAAAATAAAAAGAAATTGCATAAAAAATATCTAAAACCTCAATTACTTGCTGACTATAATGAGTTTTCTTTATTACGAGCTAATTGTAAACAACTGAAAGAACAATGCTATCTTGATTATGTCGCTCTAACTGAATCCTCTCTAAAAAATGATTTTTTTAAATTTATTAACAGTAAAAAAAAACAGAAATAATATTCCTTCTGTTATGCACTATAATAATAATATTTTTGGCTCTTCTGGCATGGAGATTGTCAATTTATTTGCTGAATACTTTTCCAAAACTTGTAGTGATAAAGATTTTGCAGGATGAAACCTTTTTAACAAGAGACATCAAACCATCACAATTTAGCATTTCTATTTCGTCTATATATGAAAAACTTTCCATTTTGGATAGCAACAAGAGGCCAGGTCCAGATGGTCTTCCACCTTCTTTTCTTAAACACTTTAGCTGTTTACTTTGTAGATCTCTTTTTCACATTTTTAACCTATCATTAAAGACAGGGATGTTCCCAGTCTACTGGAAAACTAGCTTTATTATCCCAATACTAAAATCTGGAGATAATTCTCAAGTGAACAATTATCAGCATATTAGCATTCTAAGTTGTATTCTCAAAGTTTTTGAGAGCCTTCTCTGTGACTATTTGTCAGCAACTTTAAAAGGCTGTTTTATCAGCCAATAATTTGGATTTCTCTCTAGCCACTCCAGTGAACTTAATTTATTGACATTTACTGATTTTCTTATAGAATCTCTTGAAGATGATTTCCAGGTTCAGGCTGTATACAAAGACTTTACAAAGTCATTTGACCGGGTAAATAACAAGATTTTAATCAAGAATTGAGGAGTCTGAGTATCCAAAGGTAAACTTTTAGAATGGTTGTTATCCTACCTAACTGAAAGAATACAAATAGTACTTGTTCAGGGTTTTCAATCATTTGAGATTAAGATACTTTCAGGAGTACCACAAGTATCACATCTAGGACCTCTTCTATTCATTAACTATGTTAATAACATTGGCTCCTGTTTCCTCTTTGCTTCTTTCCTAATGTTTGCTGACGATTTAAAACTGTATTTCAAAATTGAGAATGATGATGACTATCAAAAACTACAGTCTGATTTGGATCGGTTGAGCTTTTGGTGTAACAGCAACGGAATGGAACTTAATGTTAAAAAGTGTCACTTAATGGTTTTTTTACTTTTAAATTAAATATTCAAATATGGAAAGGTCCCTCAACATAACTTCTCTTCAAATCCGACGCATGCACAAAGATCTCACTATGTTTTATAGTATACTACATCGTCATGTGTGGGTCCTAGCCTCCCCAAGAATTCTCTTCCAGTCGTGCCTATCCATCGCCTTCCTCCACCAAGCACGTATTTCCATATTTCTCATATCTTGGTCTATGTTATCTAGGAATCTTGTTCTGGGTCTTCCTCTTCTTCTTTGACCAATAGGTCTATGAAGGAGCGTTTTTCTAGCTGGGTCGGTTTTCTCCGTTCGCATTACATGGCCTACCCACCTCAGACGTCCTATCTTAATGTGTTTTACGATATCTGGTTCCTGGTATATTCTATAGAGTTCGAAGTTGTATCGTCTTCTCCAGACACCATTTTTATTTACCGCTCCATAGATTCGCCTCAGTATTTTTCTTTCGAAACATCCTGTTCCATGTTTTCATTGCTTTTTGTTAAAGTCCAGGTTTCTGAACCATATGTTAGGACTGGGCGTATTATTGTTTTGTAGAGTTTTACTTTTGTATTTCTTGATATAGCTGTAGATTTAAAAAGGAGATTAAGCCCAAAACAGCATCTATTAGCCGTGCAAATTCTGCGGTTTATCTCTGCGGTAATGTCATTTTCAGTATTGACGAGCGTTCCTAGGTATACAAATTCGTTAACTGCTGCGATGACGTCGTTTTCTATAACAAGTGGCCGTCGTATTTGTGGTTGCGGACCTACTTTCATGTATTTCATTTTGTTAATGTTTATTATTAAACCCATTTTAGTAGCCGCTTCCTTTAGTGCTACATACGCCTCTCGTGCTGCGTTTTCCGTTCTCCCAACAATATTGATATCATCAACATATGCTGGGATTTGCACAGATTTGTTATATACTATTTGTAGTTGTGATTTGTGACGTACGTATTACTTTTTCCAGAGCTAGATTGAATAGTATATAGGAGAGTGGGTCTCCCTGACGTAGTCCGTTATTTGTATTAAAAGGTTCAGAGAGTTCCCCCTGGATTCATACTCTGCATTCAACTTTTTCAAGGGTTAGTTTGGTTAGACTTACCAACTGATTTGGTACTCCCAGGTCTATCATTGCTCTAAACAATTCTCTTCTATTTACAGAGTCGTAGGCTGCCTTGTAGTCTATAAATATGTGGTGCGTGTCTACACCATATTCCAGTGTTTTCTCTAGAATTTGTCTCAGGGTTGAAATCTGATGAATTGTATAGTATACTACACTCTATTATTTTTGGTCCCCAACTATTGGAAAAAATGAATCTCCATGTTCCCAGTAGACAAATAAGGCTAAATCAACCCTTTTATGTTGGACCCCATCGCACAAACTACAGACACAATTCGTTCACGTCTATAGAAAATGTCACACTGAGAGTGCAGTACGGGTAAGATACGGCAATGATTTTCTTATGGAGAATAAACGCACAGGGTTGTCGGTTTTCTCCAGCTGTTGATTGCTCATTGTTTCACAGGACCGGCTTGAATAAAATGCATCTGCCGGCAGTACGAGTAAAATATTTTATATCATGTATACGTATACAGTAGAATAAAAAGGCATTGATGAGTTGTTGACAACGAAAACTATGAATTTTGCATATAAAACGTCAACATGAGATATGCAATTGAATCATATTCATAAGAGTAACATTTGAACACCCCTTTACAAGAACAACATACAATAACTGTAGATTTAATATTTTACATAAAATAGAAAAAACCTACATAATTTCTAGGAAAGAATTTGGAAACTTATGATATTATTTATAGATATTTATATATAATATTCAAATTTCCAATTCTTTCATAGAAATTAGATTTTTTCTATTGTATGTAAAATATTAAAAATACAGTTATGTTGTTTCTATAAATAGGTCTTCATTTCTTTTGTAAAACTTCTGCTACAAATTACCTTCATTAACATAATCACCTAAATATGGCCATAAACTTGTTTGTCATAATTAGTATTTGATAAACTCCAAGCTTTCCCTATTTCACCCCCTACCCATCCTAAGGATGGGTAGGGGGTGAAAGTGCTTTTGGAAAACGAAATTACACTTCAAAATTTAGTCCGAGTTTCAACAGAGAGCATGGAGTCCCATAAGTTTAAATCCGGTGAATTATTTAACGGTTGCGCTAAACTCGTAGTGTTAATGTGTTGTGTTTTTTACAAAATACGGAACAACTTAATGTAAGTGCTGCTGTAAGACGTACGTCGTTGATGACTGGTGTTAGCGAAAGAAGCATTTACAATTTCAAAAAAGAAAAAGAACAAAGTGGAACGTTGAAATCGCCAAAAAAACGTAAAAAACGAGTGTGTCAATCAAATTCTACAATATTCACATATGACGAGGGTGTAAGAAGTATTCTACGGAGAATTGTTCATTGTGAATTTTTCATGAAAAATTTGCCGCCATTCTTAAAGCATATACATAACTTCATACAAGGTAATATATATACAGCCGTTGTCTCTTTCTACTTTATACAAACTTCTGAAAGATATTGGATTTGTTTATAAGAAACGTGGCCGAAGACGCATCATAGTGGAGCGACAGGATATTATTCATTGGCGCCATAATTATTTGAGAACTATACGACGTTTGCGAAAAGACCATTGCAATATCATATATTTGGACGAATCGTGGGTTAATGTTGGCCAATCTATAAATTACGAATGGTGCGATACTACGATACAAAACAGTCATGATGCTTTTCTCAAAGGTTTAAGTACTGGCTTAAAAGCACCTACTAAACGAGGTCCACGATATGTTTTATTGCATGCAGGTTTTTCAGGAGGTTTCCTTCCTGGCGCACAGCGTGTTTTTCTGGCAAAGAAAAATGATGGCGACTATCACGATGAAATGGATGCCGCATATTTTGAGTCGTGGTTTAAGGACACATTAATACCAAATTTACCAAATAATGGTCGCAGGAATCTCATTGTAATGGACAATGTGATATCTAAGAGCTTCTGGTTGAAACAGGATTGCCAATCGTGAACTGAGACGAAGTTTTAAGTCATAAACCTGTGTAAGGATCAGAAAAAATCATTCGTCAAAAATAAAAGCATTTTAAACATCTGACAATAAATAAAACAAAAAAACTTAAAAGTTCAAATTAATATTTTACTCATAAGTGTCTTAAGGAGTTTATAAAATGTTATTCTTGTAAGGTTAGGCAGATTATTATTCTCATTAACTTTAAAAACTTGTCTGCGGTATGAATCTCGTTTCTAATTACGTTTCCGATTAACTTTTAGGCCTGAAAATATGTGAGTATTTTTATATTCTCTGAGAATATTATAAATACTTTGCCGGCACACACCTGACTTATGTGCAACTCTTATTACTGACTCATCTATTGTTAAAGCAGATATTTTCTTCTGTCACACTTATAAATCTTTAAAGAGAGTTATTTCGCCATCCTCGTTAGCAGTATCAGTGCAGGACATATTTATTTTTTTGGTATCATCATCATCATCAATTAGCCTCTAACGTCCACTGCTGGACGAAGAATATCCTGGCTTAAGAACTTAAGGGAATGGTTTGAATGCAGTAGTGCAGAACTTTTTAGAGCGGCAGTCAACAGAGTCCGCATAGCCATGATAATTTCCAACCTTCGATAGAAGATGGAACTTAAAGAAGAAGAAGTCCACTGCTGAACATAGGCCTCTATTTGACCTCTCGACCTCTATTTCTGTTAGCTTGTATTCGGAGTCTCCATTCCAAAAATTCTTTTTATTAACCGGTCATTAACTGATCTTGCTACATGACCTGCCCAGTTCCACTTTAGTGTTGTTATCCTTGCAATAACGTCTGCTACTCCTGATCTTTTGCGTATAGTAGCATTGGATATTCTATCACATAGAGAAATCCTAACATTATTCTCTCCATTGCCTTTTCCGCAACTTGCAGTTTACTCACTGTTGTTCTTGTGAGTGTTATGGTTTCTGCGCCGTAGGTAATCACTGGCAAAATACACTGATTAAATACTTTTCTTTTCAGACACATTGGAATCTTAGACCTAAAAATATCATTCATTTTTCCAAATGCAGCCCAAGCGAGTTTTTTTCTTCTTTTCAGCTCGATTGTTTGTTGCCTCGACTTATTCTGATCTCATGGCCCAAGTGTTTATAGGAGTCAACTGGCTCAATATCTTTGTCTTCTACTGAGATGTTTTTGTTGTGGACTAAATTTGTCATAAATTGTATTTTTGAACAATTTACTTTAAGACCAACTCTCTTTGTGGCAGTATGGAGTTCTTGGAACATTATCTGTACCTGATCAAAGCTGTCTGCAATAAGAATGATATCATCTGCAAATTTAAGGTTATTTAAAAATTTTCCATCTACAATGATGCCCTTTTCGTTCCAGTCTATTGTTTTACAAGCGTATTCTAGCAAAGTTGTAAATAATTTAGGAGACATGTGGTCTCCTTGCCGAACGCCTCTTTCAATACGAAAGGTTACAGTATCTTCATTAGGTCTTACACAGGTTGTAGCATGCTGATAAATGTATCTGATGAGGGACATGTATCGGTGATCTATTCTACATTGTGTTAGAGCTTGGAGCATTTCACTTTGATTGGCCGTATCAAATGCTTTTTCAAAGACGACAAAGACAAGTATCAGGGTCTATTATATTCAATGGTTTTTTCAATTAACGACTTGAATGGTTTGCAAATGACCATTTGTTCTGTATCCAGCTGTCTTGCTTGCTCGCAAGGTTGATAGAAGTCTAGTTTTGATGTCAACCTATTAGTTAATATCTTCATAAACAACTTATAAACGTGAGATAACAAGCTAATAGGTCTATAGTTCTTTAGCTCTGTTATATCTCCCTTTTTGTGCATGACTACTATAACAGCTTTATTCCACTGAGATGGTATAACCTCTTTTGAAATGCATATATTGAATATACTGTGTGTATCATTGTAAGGAAAGAAAAGTTGTTGAAGAAAACAGAACAGTTAGCCTCAGTATTTCTCCTATTTCATTCGTCCATTCATTAAACGTTACAATCTCTAGGGATCATAACTAACGCCGTGGCGTTCAAAATCCTATTCTTAGGTGAGGTGGATTATTCCTCTATGTCTGTGGGTCTCTGTGTCAATTACGATAGATGTCAGCAGTATTGCAGTCCAATAGTCCAGCCGATCAGCAGTTTTGACACAAATTGCAAACAGGTCGTCAACAATTAATTTCTTATAAGTACTTTAAATGTCTATTTTAAAGTCAGTTGTAATTTAATTTAAGTGCTGTTACTCTGTTATTTGTACTTTTTTTAAAAAGTACCTTTAGCAGTGACAACCCTTAAGTTGTCTGTCGTGGCTTTTTTCTATTTTTTCCTCTCCTTTCACTGAACTTTCCAGTCTTTAACATCCGTTAGTCTTATATCACTACATTATCCAGCCATCGTCTTCTAGACCTATTTCTACACCTGGAGTAAAGGTGTGTCCAGTTAGTTATCCTTCTTAGCATATCTGAGTGTGAGTGTCTCTGTATATGTCCTATCCATTCTAAGTGAAGAGATTTTATGTAGCTGACTATATTTTCTCACTTTAATTCTTCAATTCCGGCATTAGTTTTCGTTCTTCTTTCTCCCTCTTTTTTTATCTCATTAGAAGTTGTTCTGTTGAAACTTATCTTTGCTGTGGTGTGCTTTAGACTCACTGCTAACATCTGCCTAATTTTTTCTGGTATTCCAAGATGCTCTAGCTCTTCCATCATTTTCGTCTGATTAATAGGATCAAAAGCGAAACATACGAAAGCTGAATTTTTCCGTTTTCTCCGTTTACAAGTGGGCGTTTAATGGGTCGGGGGGATAGGAGGGGTAAACTTTTTTGCATCTTTTTGGGTTCCCAAAATTGACATTCTCACCAAAATTCAGCTCGTATGATTTTTAGAGGTCAAATCTCTGACGACTGAATTAAAATTCCAACCCGCTACATTTTTATTGCATTGTATGTCTTAATTTAAATTTTTTTAATGGCTCACTACTATTATTTTATCCTTAATTATAATAATGCTGAGTTATGTTTTTATTTAAATAACCTGTTAAAACTTAATCACAATATATGTTTTTGTTTTAGTGTCAGTAGTGTCTGGAGGAACATTAAGTAAAGGAAGTCGGGAATATAGAACACCACCAGCTGTAGCGCCACCACAGGTACCACTTTTATTTTGTGGTCGGCGAACTATTTGATTTTTTTGGTCGCCATATTTATGTTAAATACCATTGATATTCAAATATGTTATAAATCTATATACCTTGCAGGTACCTAGCCATTACGCTCCGAATTATCCCATTGGCCATCCACGCCGTGCCAGTGAAAGAGGTTCAGGTTATGGCACATTACCTATGACGGGAGCTCATCAGCCACAAGTAGGCATGGTACATCCTATGACACAACAGCAACAGATAGTACAACCTCAAACTCCGCCCCCACCTCCTCCTCCTGTTTCTGGTGGATATATGCAAGAACAGCATTTGAGTATGCCACGTAAGTTAAGAGAAGACAATTTAAAACCTAATATGTTTGTAAAACAATGCTTCAATTTTATTTTGGGGAATTGTGCCATATTTCTTTATTTTTTACTTTGACAAAAAGGTCATTTTGCTTTCACGATTTTCGAAAAGTGGAAATTAATATAATTTCTTGTGATTTCAAATCTCCTAAAATGGATGTGCCTCTTTATTCATCAAATCAAACTTTTAATGATTTTGTCTATATCATTTTTCACAAAGTATTAACTGATGATAAAAAACTGATTACAGCAGTAATTTCTATGATGATTCTAACAATAAAGCAATCAAATATAAAAAAGTCCCCTTTATTAATGGTCTAATTCATTCTGTCATATCCATATTCAAAGATGTTCCTAATATTAGTATAGCTAAATATAATACTATGAACAGCAAACAACTATTTTCAAAAATTAAAGACCCAGTACCAATCTTATATAAAAGTAATGTTGTTTATGAAATACCATGTCTAAGATGTCAAAAAAGCTACATTGGCCAAACATCACAGTGGCTAAAACAACGCATCACACACCATAAGTGATTGCCGCTTGGGAAAAAATACTTGTGCGGTATTTGAGCACTATGAAAACATAGGTCATTTGCTAGACTGTAACAAGGCTGTAACTCAGAGAGCTATGGAACGACAGATGCTGGGTATCTCACTCAAAGACCATAAAACCAATGAAGACATTCGTAATAGAACAAAAGTAAAAGATGCTATCGAACAGGAAGCTAAACTGGAATGGAAATGGGCTGGACATAACGAACGTCTTACGGATGGCCGATGGAATAAAGAAATCGGGAATTGGCGGCCATATTAAGCCAAAAGACCACGAGGAAGACCACGCAAATGCGATGGAGCTACGATATTAAAAGAACTGAAGGGTCAATGTGGAAACGTCTTACAAACAACAGAGATGAATAGCGAGAATTAGGAGAGGCCTATATTCGGCAACACTCACCTAATAACAACTAATCTTAATAATTAATCAAAGAAATATCATTCTTCTAACGTTTCTTTTATTGTTATTTTTTACAATGGGAGTATTTTTTTTGTTTTCACTCCGATTTTCACCCCTTCTCGGGGGGTGGAAACTATTTTATTAAAAATAACCCCAGGAATCGATAGAGGGGCCAAATCTAAACAAAATTTTTCTTATAAAGTTATTAAAATAAATCAATACTTTTTGAGTTATTGAAGATTAAAGATTTTGATTTTTCGTGAATAAAATGCATGTTTTAAAGCGGTTTTTCATAAATAACTCAAAAACTATAAGTTTTTATAAAAAAGTTGTCATTGGCAAAATTGAAGCTAATAAAAAATTGAATAAGTTCCTTGCTTGAAATACCTTTTAATATTAATTTAAAGTGAGTTATAGGTAATTAAATGTATTTTTTTATCGGCGAGTACTCAAATCTAAATATTCAAGCTTAAATACCGGGAAAATAATGCATTTTATAAAATTGAACAATTTTCAAAGTACTCAGAAATACCTATAAAATGAGCTCTAGAAGAAGTTAATAGCATCAAAATTAAGCAAGTTGTGATGAAAATAAGAGGACAATTTCGAATTTTTTTGGTGAAAGTGAAAAATAAAACACGCCACTTCCACAAAAATTAAAATTTATAGTAATCCCTATAAAACTTTCTTTGTTTTAGCATAACTAATGTCCTCAAAAATTTTGACCGGTTTAGAATGCATATTTAAAAAAAATTGATTCAAAAAAATCAGAATTTTTCAAATTTTCATAACTTTTATTTTCTTTTTAGAATAACTCCATATAATATACTCAATATACTTAAAAAATTATACAGAACCAAATTTGAGGTTTTTTTTAACGAAAGATTTTTTTGTTTTTATATTGTACCGTTTTTTAAATAAAACGAGCGGTTCGAATTTATATGAATATATTTATTTATAACTTTACAGTTCGGTATTCTCTTATCAACTAAACTTATTCCTAAGATCGTTACATATATATACCAAAGTTACTATTTTCTAGAAAGTTCCCACCTCTAGGCGTACGCGACTGATCTTTCTCGAAATATCGAGTCGCTTTCGAGATGCCGCCGCATGGAAGCATGAGGTGCTGTTTCGAGATGCAACCGTTATACGTGCCTCGTTGAATGCACGTTCGTAACACTGCTCCCCTCTTAGATCTGAGCGTCCCGATTAGCAACTCTATATGTAGGCCCAGGATGGCGGAATCTACAGGACTCTCCAGCTCTGCATGAACCCCTCAGAAAGAAATAACAGTCTACTGTCTTTAAAAGACACAATCTCTTTGGATTAGTGCAACACACGGTAATTCTTACACCGGTTTCTCGGAAGATCACTTCTAGCATGCTTCTGACAATCTTCCAATCCAGATTATCTAGTGCATGGCCTATCTTGGGTAAGGCCAAATTCTTAATGTCGTAATTGCAGACGATTTTCTTCAAATTAGTTAGAGCACACCATATATCCTCGTAGGTTACCCTGTCTGTATACGACTTCCTGGTCACCATATACAGCAAAGATCGAGAACCATCTTCTAATCTCAGTACTCTTCCAACTTTAGGCTGCTGGTTTTTTAACTCGTCCAAACGACCGAACTTTTTATAAAATACGGATGAGATTCCTTTAGTCATCTCAAGATCTTGGGCAACACAGTGGGCTAGAGTGACGTTATGCGGAACACTAAAAAGATCCTGCTGAACTTCTGTCGTCACGCGGAATCTAGCACTCTTTCTCTCTGCGTAATTTGACATAAATTCATTAAAGCTTGGTCGCCGGCCATCTTCGATCTCATGTTGAAGGATTCGTGCTTCTTCTGTTTCATTTGAGCCAGCATAAGGTGCAAGCCGATTTATGTGAACAACTTTTGGTTTACCTTTCGGTAACTTTTTAATTCGGTATATTACGTCATTTATTCTCTTTTTAATTTCATACGGACCCTCCCATTGTCTTTGCAGTTTAGGAGACAAGCCACGACGACGTTGTGGATTATAAAGCCAAACAAGATCACCTATTTTATAGCTTTTATTCTTTCACTCTCGACAATCATATTGATCTTTCATTCTGTCACTGGCTAACTGGATGTGTTGTCGGGCAAGTTCATGAATGTTGTTCATTCTTAACTTCAGGCGGTCGTAGACTAGGCGGCATCTGTAGAAATTCAGACCATAATGGAAATTTTCGAGGGAAGCTATTTTTTTGCTGGAATCCCTTCAGGATATGCCCAGTATCGATAATCACGATATGCGCCAGTCGCAAACCCTGTGCTAAATTTTTTATTTAACAAAATCTGAAAACAATTGAAAATTTCTCATTTTTTTGCTCCTATTTTCATTTATAATTCGAAAAATATTGATCACGAGAAAAAATTATAAGTGGTTAAAAGTTTCCTTATTAAATTTTACACAATATTGTGTTAGCTAGAAATTAAAAATTTAATGGTTATTGTTGAAAAAATAGCAATAATTGGAAAAAAAGTACAAAAAAATGAAGTTAATCCTTTAAATGTTTTCGACTTTCTAAACTTGACTTACAAGTTCCATATTTCGCCTAGAAAAACCTTTTAATATGTTTAAAACGTGTGCTAAATTTTGTTAAGATCGGTCGTATAGGTTTTGCATAATAATTTTGCAATCCAGCCTACTGGAAAAAAATCGCAAATTTTCAAATTCATAGTAGGCCCTAAATAAGGCCCTCAGCTAGTTGCAATTTTTTTTACATATAAAGGAAGTCTCACACTTTCAAACGCTTTTTGTAAAATTCAAATCGGTTTACTAGGAAAGCCTATAAATTTTTTTAAAGTCATAAACATTTTTTAGGCTTATAAACAAATTAAATAACTTTACGAGCTTTAAACATATCAATTTCAAAATGTATACACTTAAAGAACATTAAAAGACGCTTCTTTTAAAAAACAAAAAGATACATTCGGCTTACTGGTTGCCGAGATATTGAAGGTCAAAGTTGGTATACATTTGCCGTGTAACCATAAGTGATAGAGGGATCGTTTTTAAACAAATACCCTCGTCTTGTCAAATACTTTTTATATGAAAAGTTTTACGTAATGCGCTTTATGGCAATATCCATAAAAAAGACAAATAAAAAACCGTTTTCGCGTAATATGTCGCTCGGAATGCATGAGAGGTGGTGATGAGGGACATTCACTTCAAATGTGAATCGGCGAGTATCAAGTATATATTAGCCTCAGATAACAAGCCAGTTTTTATAATTGCAGAGGATATTGATGTTCTTGTAATATTTTTACAAAAAGTAACTGATAATAAAAATATTTTTTTCTGGAAACCTAGCAAAGGAAAAAAATCGGAAGAAATTTATTACTACAACTCTTTCAATAATGCACTTAAAATAAGTGAATCTACGAAAACTTCGTTAAAAAATTTAGTGGGCTTTTTACACGCATTTTCCGGTTGTGATACAACCTCTGCATTTTTTTATCAAGGAAAAAGCAAAATTGTTAAATTGGTTTCAATAAATAATTATATATAGCAAGAAGCAACCATTTTTAATGAAAAAAGTGCAACTAAGGAAGAAATTAAACGCAGCGGATGCAAAATTATATCGGCATTGTATATGGGCCACTCAAAGTGCGATTTTACATTGAATAAAATTCGCTACTTGTGCTTTAAAAAAGGTTGCAAAAATAAAATTTTTCAATTGTCCATGCTGCCACCTACACAATCTGCAGCTGAGCAACACTCGCTTCGTGTATATTTCCAAGTACAGCAGTGGCTTGGAAATAACCTGAATGCTACTGAGTGGGGGTGGGAACTAACTCAAAATGGTCTTGAGCCAATACAAACTGAGCAAGTATTACTACCTGACTCATTATTCAGAAATATTAGTTGCAAATGTAAAAAACTTTGTACAAAAACATGCAGTTGTATCAAACATGGTCTCAAATGTTCTGACTATTGTCTTCACAGCAATGGTCAAACATGTAAAAATATTGATCACAATA